GGAAATCCTGTGATTATGCTTAGATCGCCGTAAAGGCCAAGCTTTCATAGTTGTAAAATGCTGACCCCTCGACCCCACAGACCCGGTCCAGAATAATTCCCTTGATGAGACGAAATCTTTATTCTTAATTATTCTAACTCCTGTATAACTATTATATATTTATTTTCCATTTTTATGATTCCCTTTACACATAATTTATGCTACCATAATTGTTTGTACCCCTTTTCATATATTGTTATTAATAATTTGTTTTTATATATTTTATCTCGTTAATATCACATTTGTTGTTTCAAAGTTCTGTAGCTTGACCAAACACTGATTATCCCCATGGCCAAACCCCTTCAATCACTCAAAAGCTATTATATTTACCCACAAATCAGTCCCATTGAATAAAGCTTCTTATCTCCGATGTTTTCAGTTGGTGCTGACCCCTCCTCTTTCCACCGGGTTGTGATGTCCAAGAGTTTTGTGCCAGTTCCATTTCAAGCGCCTCTCTGTCATCTATGTCCACTGTCACTCCGAGCTCCTCCAGTGTAGAACGTGCCTCCAGCAGCGAGGGGAAAACTTTGGTGCCTGATGCCAGAAATATTCTCAGCTGGGCAGGATACGGCGACTGTGCTTTGATGTTACATTCTCGTAGCTTCTTTATCACGTCTCTGACTCTCTTTCTCTTTCTTTGCACATCAGATGAGTAGTCTTGATCAAAGTAGACTTTGTTGTCCGCGTACTGGATATCACGTTGTTTCCATGCCTGTAGCAACACCGCTTGTTTCACCCGAAAGTCTAGAAAACGTACTATGATTGACCGCGGTGGAGCCGCAGCTCCGGGTCTCTGTCCGAGGGCTCGGTGCGCTCTTTCCAGCTTGATGTCAATCCCATCCTCTAACTTTAGAGCACTTTTCAGGAAATCTGTCACAAAAGTCACCATATCATCTTTCTCGGCTAGCTCGGGGATCCCGTAGATTCGTATGTTATTGCGGCGAATCCGATTCTCGATGTCATCACATTTGTTAGCTAACTCAGTCTCTCTGCGTAGCAAGTAGCTTAGCATTCTCTTGTGTTTCGCTTGTTCGTCTTCCACATCACTCACTCTGTTCTCCGCTTCCATCACTCTTCCTTCGAGACTCTCAGTCTTCTGTTTCAATTCCTCCAGTTTAGTCTCCAGCCTGTTAGATGAATCTTTTAACTCCCGAAATGACAACGAATTTTCTTGTCTTAGCTTCCGCAGCTCGGCTAGCACAACATTCTCAGTGCTAGCTTCCTCCGTTGGTTTCAATGGGGTTTGTGTAGCATCATTAGCCATAGCTTCTGTTAGCGTTAGCTGTTTCTGGCCTACCTTGGTTTCATCGTTTTTGGGCGCTTTTCTTTGTGGTTTCGGGTTGGACATGTTCACTAGTGCTTCTTTCTCACGCAGTCGAGTGTTCATTTATCACATTTGTGAAAGATATCGTATATTTTTGATAAGGTCTGTTGGAGCCGAGGGAAAGCGTGCCGCTCTAGGCCATGACGTAAGCGGAAGTCCAGGCAGTATGTTTTGAGATGATGAGGAATTTGTTGTGTTGTATTAAAATATAGCTTATATAATTGAGTTTCAGAGAATGAGAGGGTGTCGCAGACAGGTGCAGGATTGTCTATTGGCAGAAGGCGTTTTTTCACACACAAAAAAGAAACAAAATAGCCAAGATTATGGATGATGTGCAGTGGCTTGACCCCAAATTTTTTTTGAAAGAAGAGCCCCTGTTTTCATTTGGCAGAACCTTTGAGTCAGATATAGAGGACCTTAAGCATGAAGTACGTCAAACTAGGCGGCTTCTTGGGAGGAGAAAATGGATTAGAGAGTCCCTATTGGACTTCCTTGTCCTTTTGGAACGTTTGGAAAGTGTTTCGAGCTTTTGAGGCTTGCAAAGATCTTTTTAATACCTGTCAATACTGCGTCTTGTGAAATAAGTTTCTCTGTCCTAAAACTTATTAAAAACCATCTCAGAACTACCATGGCAGATGATTGAGTCATCTTGGTATCCTCAGTGTTGGGTAAAGGAGGGCTCAGGGCTGAATATGGATGAGTTTGTCAACATCTTTGCTGCTTTACACCAGAACCGTAGGAATTTGCTAAATTTGTTAAAAGAAAAATGTAATGCAATGTTTGAATGATGTTATTTTGCACTTTTTTGTTCAGACTACTATTTAAATACACTTTTTTGCTTTGTAGTTTCCAAGTGTGCTCTCAGTTCACTTTATATTAAAAATAATGTCAAGATTAAGATTAAAATGTATCGTTTAGCCAGTTTTTGTGCGAAATAAAATTTCGGAATAGTATAAATGTGGACCCCTCAAAAAAACCCTTGCCACCCCCTGGCCACCCTCTGTTTAAAAGTCTGGCTCCGCCACTGTCCCCATAATTGAAATGTCCTAGGATTTCATGCCAAGTCTGTAAATCATGGCATTTGTTCGATGTGTCATTAGCATTGGGGGCACTGTCTAAAGCAGGGGTCGGGAACCCAAAATGTTCAAAGAGCCATAATTGACAAAAAAAAAAAAAAACAACATCTGTCTGGAGCCGCAAAAAAATAACAGCCTTGTATAAGGCTTTTATGAAGGTAACACAGACTGCAAGATGTATTAGCTATATTAGCCTAATATCTAAATGACAAAGTAAAGGCTACAAATACATAATAATCATTCATGATTATCAAATGTGTATTTTCACTGCAGCGTGTCGCACCATGCGTGTCGTGAATGACGCAACTCTGCTTTAGTTTAACTTCCATTTTTTTGCCTTCATGCAATTGTAGAAATACAGAAAAATCAATCTGCTTTGGGCTCAGAGGTCACACACCTGCATCACTGTCTGCTCATATCCATCACGTCACAGGCTGAAGTTTGCTGAAGCTGAATTAAAATCCTTAATGGCCTTTTCTTTCACCGTCTTTGAGAAGGTTTTGAAGTCTGAAAATAGGTGCTCTGAATTTTTAATGAATGAATCCTTCACGTAATCACCGTGTACGGTGTTTTGCGCGTCATTGTTCCTCGTGTTTCAACAAAACTTCTCATTACAAACATGAAGCAGTCTTTCCTCATTGACTGAAAGAAAATGTTCATTGTCATTCTTAGTCCAGTCTTGTTATCGACTCTTTCTCGTTTTAGCTTTGGGATCCATGTGCACTTACAGTCTATGATGCACACACGCCGGTTTGTTTACAGCAGCGGCCGCGTGACCGCGCGTCACAGGATATGACTCACTACGTTGACAGAAATGTTGAAATTAAATATTACTTATACACATTTTTGCAGCATTTAAAAACGTAAAGATTGTTTTTCCTTCTACAGAAACCACATTCTAACTAGAAATAAAATATAGCCCTCACACTCCATTTTCAGACATGTTTGAAAAGGCTCCAGGAGCCACTCCAGGAGCACTCAAGAGCCGCATGCGGCTCCGGAGCCGCGGGTTGCCGACCCCTGGTCTAAAGTGTGCTGATTGTATAGTTTGTCGTGTACATGTATGGGGAATTCGGTACCGTCTTTATGTAGAAGAACATTCTTTTTCTCACTGAAGATCACCCTAGCTCCGCAGGAGGTAGCAGCTTTAACAGAGAATATATCTTGGGGAAACGATGGGATGTATAGGGCGCTCCTCAGCGTTGTGTGGATGCTTCCCCTCTGCGCTTAGCGATCCCTTTGCTCCTGGTGCCGTCAGCCAGCTCCATGCAGTGCGTCTCGGCCCGGAAACTTTCGTTGAACCTCGTGATGTCTGTGATGTCTGTGATGATGTGTGACGTTGCACCCGCATCCACCAGCAGACCTTTATATTTCACTCCGGGAACCAGCTTGTCTGCTTCACTTATCTTGAAAGCGTACCCCTTGTCCGGTGCGTCACACGCTCCCTGTACGTTGTCCCGCTGCTTCTTTCGTCTACACATTGCACTGTTGTGTGAGGCACTCTTACAGTAATGACACCACTGTTTCTGGCAATCTCTGGATATATGGCCTTTAGCTCCGCATTTGTAGCACACGATATCTGCGCTCTCCTGCGCGCTCCTCATTCCGGTTTGCGCAATTGCTTTCATGACATTGTCCTCAGATGTTGTTGTGTGCATATTTTCAATGTCCTCGTAACTTCTGAGTTTTGTCTTGAACTCAGAAAAAGCCATTTTGTCTTCGCTCTTAGAGACATGTATAGGAAATGGCTTAAATGTATCAGGGAGCCCTTTCAACACCATGGCTATTAAAAGTCCATCACTGAGCGCCTCACCCGCACTTCTCAACGCGGTGATTGCCGTCTCAGCCCTGATGACATACTCAGTCACGTTCTCCATGGACGATTTATGCAATGACGTTAACTCAGTGTATGAACTTTGGGGCTTGCCTTTTCCAGCGTAGTATGTTCTGAGGATTTTGAGAGCTGCGCGTCCGTCATCTGCTGCATCACCAGCGACAGGCTCTTGTCATCCAGAAACTGAATGAGCTCTGCGTTTGCCTCCACATTCTTCTCCTCATCATCGGCTGTGGGTTCTTCCAGGATGGTTTCTTTGAACCCCTGGAGTTGGAGGTGGCCCAAAAACGTTGTCTCCCACAACTCGTACCCTTCTCGTCTCTATCAAAAACAAGCCTGCCCCAGCGGCTCGGGACACTGTCCTTGTCCTTTCTGCTCATTGTTGTACGCTGCAGTGGCCACACTCAGGTGCACACTTTAAACTTTGCGACATTCACCTATCTGACCTGCGTTTAAAAATGCTCTGGGCCCATAACCTGTTAGCAGAGCAGATTACTCGCAGTGTTGAACGTGTCAGCCTTTAAACACAACGCAACAACTTGATTTCTTTTAGTGCTGCACCATTCTTGTGAGCACAGTCATTTATTCAATCACACATTTGAAAACAAATAGCAAAATGAGAGCACATCTCAACACTACTGTTTCTACTGCTGCTTCTGCAAGTACTACTGTTATAGTGATTTTAGGGTTAGGGTGTACGTCCTGTTGTAACTTCTGTTGTGTCCAGGTGAGCCTGGAGGATTACCTCCAGAGGCTACGGAGAGTCGACTTTGACGTGTTCCACCCCAGTCTCCAGAAGAGGAACCCTCTGCTGGCCATTCGCCTGTACCTGCGCTCCTGGAGTACCACCTACTGACCGCTGATCCCTGATCTCTGACCTTTGACCATAGATGACAGATGATAATCCAGTGTCTTTTGTCTCAGATGATATTAAATATTTATACTGATCTGCTGTTTTTTCTTTTACTTTGTCACAAAATTGGGTTTGGGTTAGCGTTAGAGTTGGTAGCATGAGCCCTCTCCCTGCTGCTGGTGGACCAATATCGGGTCCCTCAGCTGTGGCGCTCGCCATCGTGGCTCTGCAGGTGCCACTGCTGGTGACCACCGGTACGAGCCCAAGGTCCGTCATATGCCATATTCCAAGTAGAACTGTGGAATATGTGGTGGTTTGTTAGGTATGTGGTAGTACACACTGTAACGACGTTTGAACTGAAGAGGTCTTCTTCAGGTTGTCGACAGAGTGAATGAAAAGATGAGGAACGCGAGGTCCGAGCGTCTGTTGTGAGCTCTGACCTCGCCCGTGGTGTTTCTAACAGACTTCAGATTTTTAAAGTGTTTTTCACTTGTAAATAGGGTTAGGTTTGTGTATGTGTTCCCGTCTCCAGCGTGTGGAGACGGGAGGTGTACGGGCCCTATCTCTCCGTCCGGGTTGGGCGGTGTAGCTGGCGCTCCAGGTATAGTGGTGAGGGGGAGTGGGCTCTTCCCGGTGACTATGGGTGTGTGTACGTCTGTAATGATGTGGACGTCCCCTCTCTCTTTCTGGGACTCTAGTCCACTCATTGGGCCGTCTACGGGGGCCGCGTTCCCATGGGGAACCCCTTCTCTCCAGCCGCGGCGCCAGGGATAGGCCCGGGTAGGCCGGTGCCTACCAGTTTTTTTCTTGGCCTACTCAAATTTGTTCTTCGCCTCTCAAGTCATTAGCCTTTTTATTAAAAGTCATAATTTAAATATTGTTATTTTTATACACACATTATTGCCTAAATGTTGCGTTCTAATGTTTTAAGAAAATGTAACCCCCTGAGCGTTCACGTTGCTTCAAATATAGTCCTGTTTATTGGCTGAATAATTTTGTCCAATAATCTGCATGATCATATCACACAGCACGAAGCTCGTTCCCGAGAACAAGCAGCCATTCCTCGTCTTTAAGATTGACAACGCTCTCAAAACATTCACAACAGAGCAGCCTTTTTAGTCATTTTAGTTTTAAGAAAGTTCAGCGTGAACTTCGGGAGGTAGAGGAGCCAGAGGCCTGGGCCCGTAGGTCCCAGAGGAGGAGAGCGCAGTCAGGCCAGGTTCACCTCGTACTGATGAGGTAAACCCCAGGCCTGTGTGTGTGTGAGACACACAGGGCCTCATGTATGAAACTTGCGTACGGACAAATCAGGGTGTAAATCAGGGTGGAATCACTTTTCCGCATTTATCTATCTGGACGTGAGCGTACAATACGCAAAAAAATATACGGCAAGTCTGGAGGTGGAGTAAACGTATACGCTGATCTCAACCTTCGGCTCAACACGCCAAAACACGCATGAAATTCAGGATTTGGACAACAATAAACATATTCCGACAGTATACTGGGGGCGACAGTAGCTCAGTTGGTAGAGCATTGGCCTTAAGGCCAGAAGGTCGTGGGTTCAATTCCCACCTCTGCACCTTCTCCACCGACTCCCACTGATGACTGCTGCCGTTGTGTCCTTGGGCAAGACACTTAACCCCACTTTGCCCAAAGCCCCCACTGAAAGATCAAGGCTATGCTCACAGTCAGAGAGCAGCCGTCCTCCTGTGGACTCACCACCTGCAGAGGGTCAGTGAGGGGCTGGTGCTATGAGACTTGGGTGGCATCTCTGACTGCCACCCCCCTGACCCAGAAATGGATTAAAGGGAAGAAAATGGATGGATGGATGGATGGATAAACATATTCCCTCTGGCAAAATTATAAGATGTGTTTTCATTGAGCATCATGTTTCAAAAGTTGAATTTGCGCATCGGAAAAAGTCTAATGGAAAAATGCAAACTTCGAATAAATCACAGCTCATGATCAGGACCCTCTATTAAATCTGACTTGTGTGTGTATTATTTTGATCTGTATATGTTTTTTAAATGTGAAGCGGTTTGTGATCCTGAACTGTGAAAGGCTCTATATAAAATACACTTTACGCAACAGGGATGTGTGACCCAGCTATTGCTGTGACAGGCTCTGCACTGCGTAATTACGCACGGCTATTTGTATTCCTCACATCTGGTAAAGCAATGTGTTATTTCATTAGATTTGTGTTAGCCTCACACAGACACACACCCCAATAACGCACCGATGGTATTGCTCACTCCAAATGTCTCACTGCCCTGTCCAGAGTGCGCAGCGAGTGCCGTGAGATATCGCACCACATAACTCCTCAAATGTGCAGAAGTTTTGGCTTCAGTTTCTTTGTGAAATCTGGACCGCAAACACTCTCTGAAGTGTACAGTGCTTCAATGCGCACTTCTACCCCGAGCCAGGCTGCGTCCAAGACACTGCAGACGCTTCATTCATGAGAGCCACCGCTGCATAATAAATATGAATTCATTCATTCATTCATTCATTCAATCAATCTATATTTATTCACTTCTACAATTCAAGAGAGATTTTTCTAATGTATCAAAACTATTTTTGCAAATTTGTGCAAAACGCAGCTGAATATATAGCGTATATTTATTTTTACATAAACATAACAAACAAACATGCCTTTTGAGGCTTCCAACAGTCTTTTTGGACTTCCGTGCTGACCTGTCGCGAACATTGCTGCATAATTCTAGGCGTGACTTTCATAAATACGTTCGTATTCAGCCGATTTATCAACACCCGCAGCTGCGTATACGCTCAGATCTGGGCTGATCTCACACGTTCATAAATCCGACGTTGGATTTTGCGTAAATGGAATATACACCCCAAATGTACACATTTTTCTACGCAAGTTTCATAAATGAGCTTGTGTGTATGTGTGTGCTTGGGTGCGTGTGTGTGCGTGTGCGTGCGTTTGAACCATATTCTTTGAAACCCCAATTCCAGCTACCCCTTGTAGTTTGCGTGCGAATTTGGCCTACTTACTAATCTGCAGGCCTACCCAAAATTGCAAACCTGGCGCCGCTACTGCTCCTCTCTCTCCCATACTTGTCCTGATGGTTATTGACCTCCCGCAGACTGTGGCCCCTCCGACGTACGTGGGCCAATCCCGGTGGGAGTGGGTCCACTGTGGACTGCTGCGGGTGTATGGTGAGTAGGGAGTCCAGGTGTATTCTGGAAGTTTTTGTTTGATTTTGTGTTTTTTTATTTTTATAGAAGACTTTATTAAAAGTGTTTAAAATGTTTAAAACTTCAGATTGCCTCCATTATGTTATGGGAGGCAAAAGAAAGACCTTAAAAGGTCTAAGAATTTTTAAAATGCGCAGGTTCTCAGAATGAATAAATAAAGGACGTTAATATGTCACAGGACGGACGCACAGCGCACTTTGTTTTTATGCATCCTTTTATTGTGAAATGTGTTTGATCGTGTACAGCACTGTGTTTTTACTTCCTGTTTTTAATCCCCGCACCTGTGGCAGCTTGCACTGATTTTAACCAATGGACATGGACACTGGTGGCAGGAGCCAATTGGCATGGGTTTTTAAACAGACTATGGGGAAGGAAGAGGAGAGCACGGTTGACAACTGCAGTGTCTTGGGGCGACCGAGGAGAGGAAGCAACAGAGGACAGCAGTAGCCAGCAGTATCTGCACGGAAGGACCCACGGGAAGCCAGAGCACGACGCTGACTAAACTCTGCCCGTGTCAGTAAGTACTGTTTTAGTGCTCTGGTCAGGCATACGGCTGCTGCTGGCCAATAGGAATCTGTTTTTAAAAGTCGTTACTGTGAGAGACCCGTTTGTTTCAGGGAGGGGCCTGGCCAGCCGTTCCCTCGTGTGGAGCCGGAGCACTACGAGATATCACCGCGTGCACGTAAGTGGCTTTTAGTGCTCTGGCCGGGATTCATCCCACCTTTTTAAGCTACAGATTTCTATTTTTAAAAGGAACGTTTTACTGCCTCCTGCTCCTCTGGTTTTAGGTCTGCTGCCGTTGGGACCGTCGAGTCACCCCTGTTTTAACTGGACTCAATCTTTTAAGTTTTACTCTTTTAGTATTTTATTCTGTATTTTTATTTACTTTTAACTTTTTGTAATATTGTTTTACGCCTTTTAACTCTGGTTTTTATACTGCTCACCTTGATTTTAAGAACCTTTTTAGAATTAGTCCTAGTCCCTAACTAGGTGGCGTTGCTTCTTCATTTATGATACTCGGCCACATCACAAATAGAGCTATATAAAAGATAAAACACTAAAACACAACGTTTCGACCTTGACTGGTCTTCATCAGGTGTGTAAAAAAGGTAGAGCATAGATTTTGGACTTGAGCTGTTTGTGATGTGCACTCTCTGAAGAGCTGTTCAGAATGAACCAGAGGTGAGGGTGGAGCAGCCTCTTATCCTCTGTTCCTCTTCCCTGATTGGTTGAGGGTGATTGGGTTGGTCTCCACCTGTGTGGGGAGACTCACCTGTAGGCCGTTAGTAAAAGAACTGGATATGGAGGACAGGAAGGTAAATATTATTTTGGGTGTGGAATGTGGGCTGGAATGTGGGCTGGAATGTAAACTATGTGTGGATTTGGATTCTGTGTATAGGAGAGGTCCGGGTGGCCTTTGGTCCTAAAACAAATGGGTTGAATTAAGGTTAAAGGTGGGGATGGGGTTTAATAATGAAAAAATAAGTTATGTGAAGGTACGAGGTCCAAGGGATTTATAAATTAGGTTATAATTAGGCACTGTAAAGAGACCGCCTCCTGAAAGGAGGGGTGTTGGCACGGGCCCTCTCCCTGCTGCCTGTCCCACGGCTCCGGCGGTCACCGCTGTGGCCCTGCAGGCGCCACCGTTGACCCAAGGTCCGTCATACACCATACTCCCAGCCTAACTGTAGGGTATGTAGGTAAGTAGGATGTAGACACGTGAAACGACGTTTCGACCGTTTAGGTCTTCCTCAGGTTGTGTCTACTAGTGAAGCGAGCGAATGAATGAGTGAGGAGGGTCAGAGCCGCTCCTGATATAGCTGGGCTCCGCCCCCTGCGTCTGCATTGGGTCTTCAGATTTCAAAAATTGAGAAACTTAAATCATGTCATTTTTAACTTAAACAAGGTTGTTTTTAACTTAAAAAATAATAAATAATAAAGAATGATGAACTTTAGAATGTTTTTAACATCAACTTTGTTGTTTTTAGAATATTTTTATAGAAGGTTTTTGAAGGTATTATGTTTTTGTTTTATATTTTTTTTTATTTTTTTGTGTGCACCACTTGTGCTACAGGTTTTAATCCCTTTTTTTGTGTGATTTCTCTCTTTAGAAATAAATATAATTCAAACGACTGTATCCAGTGTGATAACCCCGTCCTGTTCACTTCCTGGTTTGCTCCGGAGGTCCAAGTAAGGGTGAGGGTAGGGTGTAAGTCCTAGGGTTAGGTTTAGGCAAGGGTCTAACTGGTTAAGTTTAGGGTTAAAGGTTAGGGCTGGGGTCTAGTTGAGTCCATGGGGTGTCTTTGTTCCCAGTAATTTTATCCAGTGACTGGCTGTCTCTCCTCTCTGCGTCTGTCCAGGTACAATTAGCCTGGAGTCCAGAAAGCTCCAGCGCCTCCAGGCCGTGTACCAGGAAGTGAGACAGGCAGAGTGAGGAGGAGGAGGAGGAGGCCTCCCTCCTCTCCAGTGCACTCCTGAGTCTCCCCAAGTGATCTCCCTGTTTCTCCCACATACTGTAATTTACACGTCTTGCACCTAATCAAATAGACCACATTATGTGTCTGTGGGCCAAAGAACTGGGTCACTTTATAAAGGACACTCTTAGTCGTGTTGTGAACAAAAGTCCTTCGGATCAGAGTGTTCCCCTCCCTGTTGGGGGGTTCTGGTTCCTGGAGCGGCTTGAGTTTGGCTGTGACCAAGCGGTCCTTCAAATTCCTATTCCTCCTGTGTGCTGCAATGAATCTATAATTTGGTAAAAGTCCCTGTGTGTGAATGAATCTGTCATAATTGTCCCTGAGTCTGGGTCTCAATAACAGTGCGGTCTCTGAATAGGTGGAGATGAACGGGACCACCTCACCCTGGGGTTTGTCCTTCCTCTCCTCAAATGTGGAGAGGCAGGTTCTCAGGAAGGACCTGGAGTATCCTCTCTTCCTCAAAGCCCTGAACAAGGTATGTACTGCCTCTCTAAAGTCCTCGTCCTGTGTGCAGATGCGTTTGAATCGGATTAATTGGGATTTGACTATTCCAGCAAATATGTGTTTGGGATGGTGACTTGTCTTGTAGAGGAGGGCATGTGTGTCAGTTTCCTTGAAGTAGACTTTCAGATCTAATTTATTTGACTGATCGCATAATGGTCCTTTGAAAACTGTTGTGTCCAGGAAGTCTATACTGTGGGGGCTAACTATGTGTTTAAGTTTAATTGAGGGGTCAATTGTGTTTAATTTGTTTATAAATGTTTCGAATTCCTTTTGTGAATGTGTCCAGATGCCGAATATATCATCAAGATACCTGTAGTAGGCGAGTGGCTTCCTGGGGCACTCCCCCAAGGCCCTCTCTTCCCAACATGCCATAAATATATTGGCGTAGGAGGGAGCAAAGCGTTTCCCCATAGCCGTTCCCTTGATTTGTAAGTAAAATTGTCCGTCAAAGTCATTCCGTCTCAGGTTGATGTCCAGGAGCTGGAGGAGTTCTGAGTCTGGTCTGGTCGGGTCTGGGTATCTGGTCATCATGTTTTTTACTGCCTCAAGTCCTGCTGGGATGTCAATGTTGGTGTATAAGGAGTCCACGTCCATGGTAAACAAAAATGAGTTTTTTGGAATTGTAATGTTTTTAACTCGGTGCCCCTGGTATCTGAACTGGACCTTGGTAAGAACCAAAACAGTACTTTTAACTGTTGTTGGATATCTGGAAATATATAAATAATTTATAAATTGATAACACCTATGTTAATTCATGGATAATATTTGTAATGAAAACTTTTTTTATTTACATTATTGAATCAGATCAACCCAACAACATGCCACCGTTGGAGTTGGATCAGTCTGGTGAGTGTTTATTGCTTTTGATAGTAGTAGTAGTAGTACTACTATTACTACTGAGTAATGGAAATTCATATATGCATATTGAATCAGATCCTGAGCCCCTGGTGGGAGGTGAGGGGATGGAGGAGGAGGAGGATCAGGCCATCGCCGGCCCTTCTGTCTCTAGTGAGTATTTATTTATTACTCATACACACATTTGTACTACTATTACTACTGTGTTAACAATGTCATTGTGTACATGTAATTTGTGAATCATAGTTTATTTTTTTCAAAAACCTACATATGTTATGGCATAGATAAACTTTGGAACGAATTAACTATAATTTCATATATACATTATTCCTCCCATATTGAATCAGATCCTGAGCCCCTGGTGGGAGGTGAGGGGATGGAGGAGGAGGAGGATCAGGCCATCGCCGGCCCTTCCCTCTCTGGTGAGTATTTATTGCTCTTGATAGTTACTACTCCTCATACTGTCCTCATAAGAAGACAGGTAAAGCTTTTCTTCTGTTGTGATTCAGGGCTATACAAGAATAAATTGTATTGTATTGTTTTGTACCACTGCTACTAGTGCTATTACTACTACTACTACTTCTGCTGCTGCTGCTACTACTACTACTACTATTACTACTGAGTAACACCTACCAATGTTATTGCGTAGGGTTATTGAAATGTTGAATCATGGAGTACATTATTTTTAATAAAGGGACTTCATACCACATGGACCAGGAGAGGCCGGGTCCATCCGTCACTTTGGAGGCATTCCAGAGGCTGGAGGCCCGCCTCAGCAGTCTGGAGCGCTCCCACGCCCTTCTTTTGAAGAAGTGGCGGTCCCTCCAGGCTGCCCCGGCTCCCGTGGCCCCCACGTCCGCTCAGAAGGGGGAGCACATGGGCAAGCTTCAGAATGCGGACTTCCTGTATGGTAAGTTGGTTACTAATAGTTTTGGACCATGGAGGGAAATATTCAAATATTGTCATCCTTTTTTCTAAAAGTCAATTTGATTTTATTGCAGAATCCCTCGTGGAGGACTACAGGCTGTTCCGGCTCGGGGCGCGGACCAGGACGAAGGATATCGACAACGCCAAGCAGTCAGCCAGCCACTCCCTGAGGTTCTGCCGGTACATGGCCCAGGGAGTGGCGGCTGACTGCCTGACTAGGAGCCTCAGGTTCCTCAACCGCCTGGACCACCTCCGTGGGTGAGTATTAGTCTGCTATCTTTGGATGAAGAATTAGGTAACTCTGCATCTTGTTTAATATCACTAAAATTGGTCCAAGAAAATTTGCCATTTAGTTAGGATTTTCTTGTGAAAGTGAATGGTGATAGATTTAAAAATTCTGGAAGATTTATATGTGGTAACCTGTCTGTTTTTTACACAGATACCCGACGTACCTGGTGACCAAGGGCTATAAAAGCACCACAATAAAAAATATGATTACAAATGTGATCATGTTCCTGCGCCATGTGAGCAAGCGCTTCCCGCGCCAGACCCGCCTGAGGCCCGCTGAAGCCTCGAACCTAGAGTACGAGCTTCAGCGGATCCAGCGGGACATCGCGCGGGAAGTGCTTGTTCACAAGCAAAAAGTGCTCAAGAAAAAGTCAGGTAAGGCTTTTCCTGTCTTATATGGGTAACACCACTGCTACTACTGCTACTACTACTACTACTACTGCTGGTGATGCTACTACTACTGCTACTACTGATAACACTTATACTACTACTACTACTAGTCTACTGCTAATGCTAATGTTAAAGCTAATGTCAATGGTGATGCCAATGGTGATGCTGATGCTAATGCTAATGCTAATGGTGATGTCAATGGTGATGCCAATGGTGATGCTAATGCTAATGGTGATGCCAATGGTGATGCCAATGGTGATGCCAATGGTGATGCTAATGCTAATGTTAAAGCTAATGCTAATGTTAAAGCTAATGCTAATGCCAATGGTGATGCCAATGGTGATGCCAATGGTGATGCCAATGGTGATGCCAATGGTGATGCTAATGTTAAAGCTAATGTTAAAGCTAATGTTAATGGTGATGCCAATGGTGATGCCAATGGTGATGCCAATGGTGATGCTAATGCTAATGTTAAAGCTAATGTTAAAGCTAATGTTAATGGTGATGTTAATGGTGATGCCAATGGTGATGCTAATGCTAATGCTAATGGTGATGCCAATGGTGATGCCAATGGTGATGCCAATGGTGATGCTAATGCTAATGTTAAAGCTAATGCTAATGTTAAAGCTAATGCTAATGCCAATGGTGATGCCAATGGTGATGCCAATGGTGATGCCAATGGTGATGCCAATGGTGATGCCAATGGTGATGCTAATGTTAAAGCTAATGTAATGGTGATGCTAATGCTAATGTTAAAGCTAATGTAATGGTGATGCCAATGGTGATGCCAATGGTGATGCCAATGGTGATGCCAATGGTGATGCTAATGCTAATGTTAAAGCTAATGTTAAAGCTAATGTTAATGGTGATGTTAATGGTGATGCCAATGGTGATGCTAATGCTAATGTTAAAGCTAATGTTAATGGTGATGTTAATGGTGATGCCAATGGTGATGCTAATGCTAATGCTAATGTTAAAGCTAATGTTAATGGTGATGCCAATGGTGATGCTAATGCTAATGCTAATGCTAATGTTAAAGCTAATGTAATGGTGATGCCAATGGTGATGCCAATGGTGATGCCAATGGTGATGCTAATGCTAATGTTAAAGCTAATGTTAATGGTGATGTTAATGGTGATGCCAATGGTGATGCTAATGCTAATGTTAAAGCTAATGTTAATGGTGGTGTCAATGGTGATGCCAATGGTGATGCTAATGCTAATGCTAATGCTAATGGTGATGCCAATGGTGATGCCAATGGTGATGCCAATGGTGATGCCAATGGTGATGCCAATGGTGATGCTAATGCTAATGCTAATGTTAAAGCTAATGCTAATGTTAAAGCTAATGCTAATGCCAATGGTGATGCCAATGGTGATGCCAATGGTGATGCCAATGGTGATGCTAATGTTAAAGCTAATGTAATGGTGATGCCAATGGTGATGCCAATGGTGATGCTAATGCTAATGTTAAAGCTAATGTTAAAGCTAATGTTAATGGTGATGTTAATGGTGATGCCAATGGTGATGCTAATGCTAATGCTAATGTTAAAGCTAATGTTAATGGTGATAATGGTGATGCCAATGGTGATGCTAATGCTAATGTTAAAGCTAATGTTAATGGTGATGCCAATGGTGATGCTAATGCTAATGCTAATGCTAATGTTAAAGCTAATGTAATGGTGATGCCAATGGTGATGCCAATGGTGATGCCAATGGTGATGCCAATGGTGATGCTAATGCTAATGTTAAAGCTAATGTTAATGGTGATGTTAATGGTGATGCCAATGGTGATGCTAATGCTAATGTTAAAGCTAATGTTAATGGTGATGTTAATGGTGATGCCAATGGTGATGCTAATGCTAATGTTTAAGCTAATGTTAATGGTGATGCCAATGGTGATGCTAATGCTAATGCTAATGTTAAAGCTAATGTTAATGGTGATGTCAATGGTGATGCCAATGCTAATGCTAATGCTAACTTAATGGGTTTTTGGGTCTCCTGCCAACCCAAACCAGTGGTAGGAGTGGCACTGCTCTACCACTACTACTACTACTACTACTACTACTACTACTAGTACTAAATTATTGACCAGTCCGAAATGGTGAAATGTCACAACAGGTCCAAATAGGGATGTGGTTTTCACTAGTGTTACGCCAGTTCCATTCTTTTCACAGCCAACCAGCTGGACCCCAGGGACAGCGTCACATTTTTGGACAGGGCCAAAAGGGCCATTGACGCAATTATCGGTAAGTAGAGTACATTTGTGATTGTTTTTCATTTTCATTCCAAGAAGTTGTTGCTTCCCCTTAATACCTCGTGTTGTTGGGGTGTAGGCCGAAAGGATCCCGATGAACTGCATGGCCTGGGGATGGGCTACATCCTCGGCTACCTGGCCATTGTAACAGGCCACCGGGCGGTGGTATTCCATCATGTCACAAAGGAGTCGGTACAGGAGGCCGACTCCTGGAAGTCTGGGACTCGCTTCCAAGTGTTGGTCAGTCATACTATGTACCATTCAGAAAGTAATTAGAAAGGTTGTTAATTATATTAGCGAGTTGTGGTTTCTTATCAGGTCCTCATAAAAAGACTTGTACTCACACACAGGTCTCCCTTTTGTCCGAAATTGCCTCTAGAGATCTAAAATTTTGGCAGATTGTAGCCTTGGTCGGTGCGATACCGGGAAAACCAGGGGCGAGTTCTATTTCCCACGCTTGGTTTCTTATCCGTCAACAGATTTTTGTTTTGTTTTCCCCCAAGGTGGACGACCACAAAACCAGTCGAACATTCGGGCAGGCCTCCCTCGTCCTCGAACGCCAAGAATTTAACTGGCTCCGCGTCCTGGCCACCGGCGAGGTCTGCACTGAGGAGTGCAGGGAGGTGGACAACATATTCCACTCACCATCTGGAGGCCCAATAAGACAGGTCTCTGAGCTCATAAACAGGGCGTGGGCAGCGGCTGGACTTGGGGGGTCCATCAGCTTCAACAAGATCAGGAGCAGCGTGTCCACACAGGTAACATCTTGATTGATGCGTAAAATTGACTGCAGAGTTGAATTTTGATGTTTATTCATGTTTTTTGTTTGTAAGGCCAATGACCACCTTACGGAGGAGGAGCGGCGGAGGGTGGCCAGGGCCATGTGCCACGACCCTGCCACGGCGTCAAAGTTCTATGTGGCCCTCCCCAACGGGGAGAGCCAGTTTAGGGACAGGCTGCTACGGATGAAGGCCCTCTGTCTGGCCTCTAACACCAGGCCAGCGGTCTCTAGTAGCTCAGAGTCAGAGGGACCTGAGCCGGTTTACCAGGACTCGCCCGACTCCTCTGGCTCTGAGCTTGCCAGCCCTGAGCCAGCCCCCTCCAGCCCAGCGGACGACCCCTCCATCCCTGAGCCAGACGCCTCCATCCCTGAGCCAGACGCCTCCATCCCTGAGCCAGACGCCTCCATCCCTGAGCCAGACGCCTCCATCCCTGAGCCAGACGCCTCCATCCCTGAGCCAGACGCCTCCATCCCTGAGCCAGACGCCTCCATCCCTGAGCCAGACGCCTCCATCCCTGAGCCAGACGCCTCCATCCCTGAGCCAGACGCCTCCATCCCTGAGCCAGACGCCTCCAGCCCTGAGCCAGACGCCTCCAGCCCTGAGCCAGACGCCTCCAGCCCTGAGCCAGACGCCTCCAGCCCTGAGCCAGACGCCTCCAGCCCTGAGCCAGACGCCTCCAGCCCTGAGCCAACCCCAGCCTGAGCCAGACGCCTCCAGCCCTGAGCCAGACGCCTCCAGCCCTGAGCCAGACGCCTCCAGCCCTGAGCCAGACGCCTCCAGCCCTGAGCCAGACGCCTCCAGCCCTGAGCCCTCCACCCCACCGCCTCAGCCCTCGACCGCTGACCGGCAGCCCTGGACCCCGGTATGGGCGTGCGAAACGGCCTCGAGGAAGCGGCTGTTCCCCGCCGACGAGGAGGACGAGGAGCCTCGCGCCCTTCCTCAGCCCAAGAAGTGCACGGTCGACATTGACAGGCTGCCGAGTGGGGTACTCAGCTATTACGCTACCGTAATTAGGGAGTACCCTGCTCAAGGACCGACGAGTGTGTGAGGACCTGTATGTGTGAACACCTGTGTTTGTGTGTGTGTGTGTGTGTGGAACTTTTTGTTTTAAGGACTGTGTGTGGACCTGTGTGTATGAAGACCTGTGTGTGTGTGAGGACTTGACTTGTTTTGTATTATATATATGTTTGTTATAGTTATTGTAAATTTAATTGTATTGTTAACATTTGAAAAAAAAAAAAAAGTACAAAAGTACAAAAAAAATAAAAAAAAATAAACACTTCACAAAATGTGAAGAAAAAAAATAAATACTTCACAAAATGAAGTAAAAAAAAAACTTCACAAGATGTGAAGTACCAAAAAAAACAAAAACAAAAAAAAATTCACAAAATGTGAAGTAAAAAAAAACATTACCTCCACTAGAGACTCTGCCTTGACGTGGCGTGGAGGCTTAAGTGACAAATTGAGTCACAACCAAAGAGTCTCACAACTTCCGTGCCTGTTTTTCCATTCTAGTTTATCTGCATGTCCTACCATGAATGGTTGGTGGTGGTCGGAGGGGCCATATGCATATGGCTGTTGCTGTAAGTTACCAGCAATGCATTGCAAGGTAAGTTGGAGTATCAAGGGTTAGGGTTAGGGTTAGGGTTAGGGTTAGGGTTAGAATAGGGGGGTAAAAACCACTTAATGTACCCCCCACCATAAAAGTTTGAGGGCTCATATCTCAGAAACGGAACGTCGTAGAGCATTGAAACCAAGATGTACCCCCCCGTACTATGAGGTTGGCTTTCAAATGGTGCCAGCCATTCTACTGTGGGACTTTCCATTCTCGCGATATCTGCCAAAAAAACTTTGTTTTTTGTATATCTCCGGAACCGAAAGTCGTAGAGTCTCGGGACCAAGACTGGCGTGTTCAGAAGACCCGAAATATGTCTGACGGATCAAGGTTTCAAGTCTCTGGGACCTTTGGTTCGGGAGTTATAAACGTTTTAATTTCCGCATTGAAATGAATGGGACAACGAGAAAGGCGAAAGATGATAATATTTATAAATATAAGAAACTAAAACAATAACAGAAAGTGAGTTTAGAATTATACAAATAACTATTTACAAATATAACAGTTGAAAAGAACGAGGAGAGAAATCTGGGAATGATTTGCTTGCTTTTGGCTCCCTCTACTGGCGGCGCCGCGCCGACACACTATTAGTGGCAGCGTGCTTGCACTATAAGAAAAAGTAACTTTATTGAAACTATAGCGATGGAAAACGATGGGAAATACATAACTCAGTGAAACGTGATCAGAAAAAGTAGTAATAGATAGGGCCATATTAGCAGACACTATAAACCAGGGGTCCCCAATTAAATTGGCATGAGGTCCACTTACTTGATGAGTTCAATAGATTAGGGTCCGGACATCATACAAATATTTATTTAATAGAAATCCGTTCAAGCTATTTCTTCCATATTAAATTATTTCAAACCTTAAACAACAACAACTACAGTAGTAAGAACTATTTGTAAACAAAATCTAAAGATAGGTGTGTATATTTCAATTCATTGATAATAATTCAACATTAATCTACTTTGTTTATTTCTACACAACACACCACAAACCTCTCCCAAACTCTCAGAGCAGAGTGTGGAACACATGTTAATTGCGGAGGATAAGGGTATCGTTTTTGAACTGCTTCTTTCTATCAAATAAAGTTTTTGCCATCGCCTCCACTCACTCTGACCATAACAAAGCTCTTTATGCCCGAAATCCCCTGCACTTGCATTAACACAGTCTACTGTGAGCACTTAAGTAGGGCATGCGCTGTTTGTTAATGCTTTAATATGTTTCTGATGTGTACCTCTGTCTCGCTCCTCCTCGCACTCCTCCTCACACACCTCTGTCTCGCTCCTCCTCGCGCTCCTCCTCACACACCTCTGTCTCGCTCCTCCTCGCGCTCCTCCTCACACACCTCTGTCTCGCTCCTCCTCGCGCTCCTCCTCACACACCTCTGTCTCGCTCCTCCTCACGCTCCTCCTCACACACCTCTGTCTCGCTCCTCCTCGCGCTCCTCCTCACACACCTGTCTCGCTCCTCCTCGCGCTCCTCCTCACACACCTCTGTCTCGCTCCTCCTCACGCTCCTCCTCACACACCTCTGTCTCGCTCCTCCTCGCTGCTCCTCCTCACACACCTCTGTCTCGCTCCTCCTCGCTGCTCCTCCTCACACACCTCTGTCTCGCTCCTCCTCGCTGCTCCTCCTCACACACCTCTGTCTCGCTCCTTCTTCTCCTCCTCCGCTCATAAACAGGCAGTGTGAGCAGCTGAATGCGAGCGTCAATCGCTCCGTACACAGCACTCATTCCCGTTGCTTTCACTAAAGTTATTTTGATTGCTCCGTGGAACGACCCGCTCCCCACATAGCCGCCCTCGCGCCTACCTGTTTATAAATCGCTTTTGGTAATAATTTGACACGTAATTGCAATAATGTTATAATATTTACATGGTGGTGGAAAAAACAATAGCAAAAAGCGAGCTTAAAATTATACAAATAACTATTTACAAATATTTAAGGCACTAACAGGTGAAAAGAACGAGGTGAGAGATCTGGGAGTTATTTGCTTTCTTGTGGCTCCCTCTAGTGGCCGCACCACGCCAACACACTAAGAGCGGCCGCATGCTCGCACTATAAGAAAAATTAACTTTACTGAAACTATAGCGATGGAAAACGAGAGGAAAAACCTAACTCAGTGAAAAAAATGATCAGAAAAAGTATGAATAGTTAAAACATATTAGCAGACACTATAAACTATTGACAGACAAATGAGATACATCTAATAATAAACTACTAAACACACTCAAACAAGTTACAAAGCAAGTTACACAAATACACTTTTAATGATAATACTAGCTATTCATGCAAAAACTCTCACACTTACATTGGGTCATGCGCACACACACTGGGAAGCGACGGACTAAACAAGGAGCGGAGATGCAGGGGAGAGAACAGCAGGTAATGATGTCACAAGTTAACAAAGTAAAACAATCAAATATCTGACAATTTTATTTGACCATACACCAATAACAGGCCCCTGCGACCCATACCTGTCCTTTTATTAAGTGCCAAAGTCTGTTAAATGGTTGGCTTGATTTGTTAGGATTTGGACTCTTTGGTTTTGCCTCATTGATCCATTGAATTGTGGGGATTGGCCCAACCCAGCTGGTCAATAGCCCTGCTAGGTAGACCCATTCTCCACATTTCACAGGACCACAGAGGCAGTTAGGGTTAGGGTTAGGGTTAGGGTTAGGGTTAGTATACAAAGTCATTGTCCCCCGAAGGGTACAACAAAATGCACGGGCCCTCTCCCTGACTCTGGACCAAGCGAGTGTTCTGGGCACTGGCAACCACCATGATGGCCGCCATCTTGTGTCCAGGGGGTTCAAAACATTGCTCTATAGTAGAGTGTATGTGTAGAAAAATTGTATGCGCTACGTTTCGACAGCTTCTTGTGTCTTCTTCAGGCGAGTTCTACACTGACTGGAGGAACTCTGTTCGGTGTCCTCTTTTATATGGTGTACAGGCTCCGCCCCCCCACTCTTGTTGAGTAACCAATGAACTAATTTAGTTTCCAATTTATGTCTTCCTGTGACTGGTTGGCCCAGTTTAGGGCTGTTCCCCTCTAGTGGGCTCTATGGTCGCGTGTGGACGGACCATAGTGTAAGTGGGTCCCCTGTGGACCATTGCAGGCGTATGGTGAATATCGTCTGGGTCTGAGTGTTGGAGTCCAGTTATACTCTGGCATTTTTTTGTTTTTGTTTTGTTTATTTTTATTTTTATTATTTTTTTTAAAAAAGATTTTAATTCAAAAGAAATTAAAAGGGTTAAAATTCAGATTGTCTCCTTTATGAGGGAGACAAATGAAAGACCTTTAAGGTCTAAGTGGAGTATAAAAATTGCGCGGGTTAAAAGGTTAAAAGGTGCTATATTGAAGGATAAAAACACACGACGTTTCGACCGTTATGGGTCTTCATCAGGTGTATATTTAAAAAGGAACCGGTATAGCACAGTTTTAAAAGAGGGTGTTTGAGGTGTGCTCTGTCTGAGGAGCTGTACAGACTGAATCAGAGGTGAGGGGGGAATGGCCTTACATACTCTGTTTCTCTGACAGGATTGGTCGGTGCGGGTGATTGGTCTGTTCTCCAGCTGTGTGGGTGAAACACACCTGTGGGCTGTCATGGAGCAGCTGATTGAGGACAGGAAGTGTTGTTGTAGATGTAATGGTGGACCAGAAATGTGAATAAATGGCGGTGGATGTGGGTTATATTTTAGGAGGGGTCAGGGTGGGTTTTGTCCCTAAAACCACTCGGTTAAGGTTGGGGTTAGGTCAGGAGTCAGGATGGCTGATAATTAATATTAATAATAAAAAAAATAATAATAATAATAAATGGGTTAAATTTAGGTCTGAGGTCAGGGTGGATGATAATTAATATGATATGGGTTAAGTTTAGGTGGTTGGATAAATGGGTTAAGTTTAGGGTAAGGGGTCAGGATAGGGTTAGATTAGTTGGTGTAGGTCCAGGTAGGTATTGTTGAAAAAATGGGTTAGGTTTAGGTCATAAAATAATTGGGTTAAGTTTAGGTCATTCAATAATTAGGTTAGGTTTAGGTTGTTAAATAAATGGGTTAAGTTTGGGGTTGGGGGTCAGGATAGGGTTGGATTGGTGAGTGTAGGTCCAGGTAAGTATTGTTGGTTCATTTTTGATTAATTTTGCAGGTTGTTTCCCAATACTTCCAGATAAGTGGGTTAGGGTGGTCCAAGGTGTGTGGTATCCAGTGTTATATTGTGACTCTTTCCATCCATGTTTTATAGTGTATCAGGTGAGTAAGGTAAGTATATAATATATTAATTATATTTGTAATTGAGGCCGTGTGGGTGAGTACTGTTTAATTGCTTGATCCATTTGTTCTCTATTTTGAGTCGATCTTTCTCAGTCCAAGTTCCGTTGGACTCTAGGCCTGCCACTTTGACGGCTTGATATCCATGCAAAATAAAATGTTTGATCAATGGTTTGAGTAGGTCTTTTTTCCTCAAGAAGGTATACCTGTGTTGGACAAAACGGCCCAGGAGGGTGTTCCCCGTTTGTCCAACATATTGTTTCCCACATTTGGAGCAGAAAATCAAGTAAACCACATTTTGTGAGTGACAGGTAAATCTTTGTACTATGGGGAAGATTATACCTGTGGTATGACTCTTGACTAAGTCAAGGTGTACCAAGTGTGGTGATAGGATGTTCTGTTTTTTTATTAGGTTAACAGTTGGGGCTAGTTTGGCCCTCACCAAATACTGCCCCAGGCTGCGGTTCTTTTTGTAGGCAGAGACGACCCTGTAATCCTTCAGGAGACCTTGTTGGGTAATGTATGTGTGAAAGTTATTTTTTATGACTGTGTTAATGTTTCGTCCCACAGAGGAGAAGGTGGTGATCAAAGGTAGGATTTTTCCTTGTTCCTGTGTATTGTTAACTGTAAATTTTTTTAGACATGTTCTCAGGAAGGACCTACTGTAACCTCTCTTCTTCAGGGCCTGGAATAGAATCCTTACTGCCTGGAAAAAGTCCTCCTGTCTGGTACAGATGCGGTGGAATCTGACCAGCTGGGACTTGACCAATCCTGCAAATGTGAAGCGGGGGTGGAAGCTGTCCTTGTGTAGGAGGCAGTGAGTATCTGTAGCTTTAAAAAATACTTTGGTGTCCAGTCTGTGTGTTTTATTAAAGTCAGGTCCTTTGTAAACTGTTGTGTCCAGAAAATTCAGGGAGGTGGCGCTGTGTTCATGTTTTATTTTAATGGATGGGTCAAACGTGTCCAAAATGTGGAGGAAGTTTTTAAAGGACTCCTCCGTGTCTGTCCAGATCCCAAATATATCATCTAAATAACGCCTGAAGATCAGGGGTTGCACTGGGCAGATGGCTAATGCTCTCGACTCCCACTCTGCCATGAAAATGTTGGCATAAGCTGGAGCGAAACGCTTGCCCATTGCTGTGCCCCTGGTCTGCAGGTAATATTTTCCATCAAATTCAAAGTCATTCCTCCTTAGGTTGATTTCTAACAAGTTTATTAACAGATTGTCTGGACGTGTATCCTCCGGGTATTTCTTAAAAATATCTTGCACGGCTCTAATCCCGGACTCAATGGGAATGTTGGTATATAGGGAATCGATGTCCACCGAGAAGAAGAAAGCCTTCTCTGGTACCTGTAAGGTCTGTAGGGTCTCAATAAAATGCGTAGTGTTTTTTAAATACGAGGGGTGTTTATTTGATAACGGGGTGAGGAAATGGTCAATATATTCTGCTGTCCTATAGGTATCCGAGTTACAGTCTGAAACGATTGGTCTTCCAGGAGGAATCCGTCCTGGGACTGTCCATTTGGATTGTTCTTTGTGGATCTTTGGAAGAATGTAAAAACGTCTCATCCTGGGCTCTCGGGGTCCTTGAAGGTAAGTATGTTGTTTTTTATTTATGTATTTTAATATATAAAGTTGGTCTAATATTGCCTTCACTTGTGGTATAGTGTCCGGGAAAATTGGCTCCTCTATTATAGTGTAATAATTCCTGTCCCTTAGTTGCCTCTCCACTTCAAATATATAATCCTCCCTGTCCATCATTACTATTACACTGCCTTTATCGGCCGGTTTGATCACTACTCTCTTTTCCCTCATTAGGGAGCGGAGAGCCTCCGTCTCATCGGGTGAGATGTTTGGTGTCTCTCTGTGATTTCTATAGATAGACTTGAAGGCCTGGCAGTCCAGTCTCCTTAGGACTGCTGTCTCTGGGGGGAGCTTGTCTTTTGGTGGAATCCACGTGGAAACAGGTAAGAACTTTCTTTCTAGATTGGTGTTTTTTGGTAGGGAATTATTATCCTGTGAGAAATACAGTGCCAGGTCCACTTTCCTGTGGTAGTTTTGTAGGTCCCACTCAAACCGGAGCTTCTGATCCTTCTTATTTTGGTAAGTAGGAACAAAGGTGAGTCCTCTTTCTAATAGTTGAATCTGTGTTTTATTGGGAATAAATTTTGTGCATAAATTAAAAATGTTGTGTAGTGTGTCCTCCGTGTGTGAGCCCTCCGAGTTGATCACTGGAGGGAGTCCCAGTTTAACTCACGGGCCCAATGTTGTAACATTTTCTTGGCCGTCTCCTCCGTCCAGTGTATATTGTCGGTCCTGGTTCTGAAGTCCTCTTCTGGGAGTCTCCTAATGTGTGGCATGTTTCGCTCTAGGTGGTGGTTGAGGACCGCCAACACACTCCTCTCCTTTAAGGGGAGCTCTTTGGAGGATTGGATTAGGGGCACCCTAATGTTGGCATGTGGGAAAGTCTTTTTTGCCTCCCTGACTAGCCTCTGCATTTGTTTTATGCATGTTTCACTTTGTTTTTGTTGTCTGTTATTTAGACCAAATGAAAGGACCACACTCTCCACCTGGGGCTGGTTTGGTGTATTGCTGAGAAGCTCTGCAGCATGGAGAAGATTGGCCCCGGGGAAGCTATCTATTTGTAGGGAAGCAAAGGTGTGATCTTTGATCCTGGCGACGTTGGAGTCACCAAGGATCAAGACGGGCTTGGTCACTCTAAGGGACCAGTCTAGGCTTTTCCTGTTGGTCACTTTATGTTTTTCTATTTTATAGACGTTTGGCCCCCCCTCCTCCTCGTCCGAGCCCGAGGGTTGCTCCAGGTCAGGGTCTGCCTCTGAGGCTAGTGGAGAACCAGCTGGGGAGCGGTCCGCCCGCTGCGGGCGCGATTCCTGCCGGGACGGCCCGGGCGGGCTTGTAGTGGGCTCCGGTGACGACACGCGAGTGGGCGGCTGTGTGGAGAGCTCCTGGGGGAAGCTCACTCTGGAACCTCTCCTTCTCACTGGTGTCCCGGTGTCGTTCTCCTGTTCTTGGAGGGTGGGCGAGTTATTGGAGGGTCCCAGGGTGTTTTCGGCCTCTTGGGTGCTCGTTTCTGGATCCTCTAGTGTTACGGGGTCCAGGAAGACAACAGGATTTTGATTATTCCTGGTCTGGCCATGGGTTCTGGGGATCCGTCTGGGTCTAGGAGGATCCAGAGAACCAGGCTGCACGTGTATCTGTGCCGTAGTAAGATTTTGATCCGTTTGGAGATTCTTAAAATAGGGACCGTTCAGAATGCAGTCCTCTATTTTATCCAGTGTGTTTGGTTTGATTCTGGGGAGACTGTTTTTGGCCCATCTCCGGGCTACCATGAACGCCTCTGGCCAGTTGTCATCTTTTGTATTCTCCATTTGATTCATATTATATTGGATCTCTGTTTCGTAGTGTTTTTTGAGTATGTTGATTGTTTCGTGTCCCCAGGTATGTGCATTTTTTTCCAATTGTTGCCTCGTCCTCTCATTAGGGGCTGCCGGTTTGATGGCGTTTTTGAGATCATTAATTAGACTATTAATCTTCTCTCTCCCCTTCGCCCCAGGTTCTTCTGTCAAGCAGGACAGATGATGGGTCAGCTGTAGGGTCTTGTAGATGAGCCGGATGGACCTGGCCATTTGTGGGGGTGCTGCCTGTCTCACTGGAGAGTTCTCTCGTGTACTTCCTTGTCTGTGACTTTGTGTTTTAGGTCTGTACGGTCTGGATGGGGATCTGCGAGGAGCTTCCCTGACTACGTCCGCATAGGAGCGTGGTCCTGGGCCGCCACGATGGTGCAAGGTTGGAGAGATAGGCACTGGCAGGTTAGGTTTATGTATAGGGTCCCGTCTCCAGCGTGTGGAGTCGGGAAATGCACGGGCCCTATCTCTCCGTCCGGGCTGGGCGGTATGGTCACAGCTCCAGGCAGGGCCGGAAGGGCGAGTGGGCTCTCCCCGGCGACTGCCTGCACGTCCGTGGCGATGTGGACGCTCGCTCTCTCTCTCAGGGCCTCTGGTCCACTCGCCAGGCCGTCTCCGGGGGCCGCGCTCCCACGGGGAACCCTCTCCCCTCTCTCTCCAGCGCTCGTCCCGGCCATAGTCATCCTCCCGCTGGCCCCAGGGGGGCCTGCGGTTGTGGGCTCTATGGTTCGCGCGTGTGGACGGACCATAGTGTAAGTGGGTCCCCTGTGGACCATTGCAGGCGTATGGTGAATATCGTCTGGGTCTGAGTGTTGGAGTCCAGTTATACTCTGGCATTTTTTTGTTTTTGTTTTGTTTTTTTTTTTTTTATTTTTATTATTTTTTTACGACACAGCGTCACAGAATTCATTGACGTCCTCTGACTGAAACACAGACCAGTCCGTAGCATCAAAACAACCTTGTAGCTTCATGCTAGCCTCCTCAGACCAACACTGCACAGTGCGAGAGGTTGGTTTATGTTCCCTGAGCAGTGAATCCCGGGGGCTGAACAGCAGAGTCCGGGACGTTCGAGTGGAGCCACGTCTCGCTGAGGCAGAACACAGTCCCGGGCCTCGCGCTGGCTCTGGACCCGACACAGGAGCTCGTCCGTCTTGTTGGGCAGAGACTGGACGTTGGCCAGGTAGATGGAGGGCAAAGGGGTCCTGGAGGAGCGGCTACGAACGAGCAGACCGCCTCGCCTTCCCCGGTGTCTGCGCCTCCTTCGCCGACTGGAGGTGCCCAGCTCCACACCGCGGAGAGAACGCCGGAGACGCCCAGTCCCCTCGCTCTGTTGGCGGCCACCACCGCGGCCCGCCTGCCGTGCTCCACGGGCCTCTCGAGTGGGACACTCGAGGAAGTTTGTGCACCTCAGTTCAGGTAAAACGAGTGACCCGTCACCCGCGTGGTCCCGAATGTGCAGAAGTGTTTCTCGATCATATTTTACTGTGGCAAGTGAATCCCAGACGAAAAACAACAAAACACAGATTGTGCGCAGAGCGTTCACTGCGGCGCCCTGACACGGCGCCATCTTGCTAGTCCTCATGCTCTCTCTATCCAATGACAGACAGTCTTATATACGTCTTCTATACGTCTTATATACGTAGACGATGGACTGGGGTCCAGAGACCATGGACCAGAGACCATGGACCAGAGACCATGGACCAGAGACCATGGACCAGAGACCATGGACCAGAGACCATGGACCAGAGACACAAAGACCGTGGTCTATTTCTAGTCCGAGAGGCGGTCAGAGGGCCTGAGCTGCCTCTTCTGGTCTTTCTGCATCAGGGGCATCAGGCAAAGTGGGGTCTTTCCAGAGGACACAATCATTTCCATGTAAACACAGCTCCCACCGTCAGCAGAGCAACTACATTTCTCCACATTTGTAATAACGAGGATAAAACATTCAGCTCCAGTTCCTTTGTATCGAGCGTCCACCGAGTGAAATGTTCAGCGCCGGCGACCATGTTTTCACCGGGGGCCATGTTTTCACCGGGGGCCATGTTTTCACCGGGGGCCATGTTTTCACCGGGGGCCATGTTTTCACCGGCGCCATGTTTTCCTCTCAGGCCATAATGGAATGGAATCACTTGAAATGAAAGCTCTGGTTTTCATTTGTTTGGGCGAAAAGAGGAGTCCTTTGAGAATTACTGTATGTGTTTGTCAGAGGTATTTTCCCCATGGGTTCAAATCCCACTGCTCCTGAGTTGCTCTGAAACTGTTGTTTTGTGTTTTTTGTAGATTAACACTAACGGTTTGATTCCTTCTCCTCTTCCCCCTCCCCTCCCCTCCCCTTCTCCTCTCCTCTTCCTCTCCTCTTTTCCTCCTCCCCCCTCTCCGTCTCTTCCCCCCTCCTCCTCCTCCTCCTCCTGATCCTCCTCCTCTCTTCTCTTTCCTCCTCCTCCTCCCTTCTCTCCCCTTTCCTCTCCTCCTCCCCTCTCCCCTTCCCCCTCTCCTCCTCACCTCCTCTCCTCCTCCTCTCTTCTCTCTCCTTTTCTCCTCCTCTCCCCTTCCTCTCCTCCTTTCCCCTTCCTCTCCTCCTCTCCCCTTTCCTCTCTTCTCTCCCCCCTCCTCCTCCCCCCTTCCTCTCTTCTCTCCCCCCTCCTCCTCCCTCCTCTCCTCCTCCCCTCTTCTGTCCTCTCCTCCTCCTCTCTTCTCTCCTCCCTCCTCCCCCTCAGAGGCCATACACCACGTCTCAGTGAGCATCAGTCAGTCCCAGTCGGAGCTGGTCTGTGCAGAGGCGTGGGGCACAGAGCCACACTACAGTTGGCTTCACGACCGAGCGACTGTTTCCCAAACTGTGGGGCGCGTGTCACAGGACGGGACGCGGCTGCGCATCACCCAGAGCCCAGTCTGCGGCCGCTTCACCTGCAGAATCCACAACAAACTGGGGTCCGCCACCGCCACCTACACGGCCGGTCAGTGACGGAAGAAACTTATTTTATCTAAACAAGAAAAGTTGGAAATAAGAAAAGAACTTAAAAACTCACTGCTCAGAGATTAGGAAGTTTTATCATCTTAAAACTAATAAAATAATCTTATTATGTGTGTGTGTGTATATATGTGTGTGTGTATGTGTGTGTGTGTGTCTATGTGTCTTTGTGTGTATGTGTGTGTGTGTGTGTGTATGTGTGTGTCTATGTGTCTTTGTGTGTATGTATGTGTGTAGATGAGTGTGCGGTCAGGGACCACAGTGGGACTATAGCAGCAGTGACGTGTGTGCTCCTCCTGCTGCTCTGTGGAGGTCTGCTCGGTCTGCTCCTGTGGAGGTGACTCTGACAGACTCTAACTCTGACAGACTCTAACTCTGACAAACTCTAACTCTGACAGACTCTAACTCTGACAAACTGAATATTAGTATATAATAATAATAATAATTATAATGATATAATATTATGATTAGTTTTCATCCATTAAAATAATATCAAAGGTGTATAACGGGGCCTGTCCTGTCTCTGTGCTGCCACCAGAGGGAGCTGTAGGATTATTATTGTTTTATTCCAAATTGAAAAACGACTGACTCCAAACTCAGCGATTGTAAAGAACCTGAGAAACTGACTACAACTTATTCTTGTATTTTCCTAAATCACAACAGCATCATCTCAGAGACTTAACAAAACCATTGGAATCACCACAGATCAGAGAATCAACAGTTAAAACACAAAATATACACACCATGTATGAGTCCATAGTCCAGAGGGAGAGACAAATGTCCATGAATGTTGATAAATGTCATACATGTGATAAATGTCACACATGTGATAAATGTCATACATGTGATAAATGTCATACATGTGATAAATGTCATACATGTGATAAATGTCACACATGTGATAAATGTCATACATGTGATAAATGTCATACATGTTGATAAATGTCAGACATGTTATAAATGCCACACATGTGATAAATGTCATACATGTGATAAATGTCACACGTGTTGATAAAAGTCATACATGTGATAAAAGTCATACATGTGATAAATGTCATACATGTGATAAATGTCATACATGTGATAAATGTCATACATGTGATAAATGTCATACATGTGATAAATGTCATACATGTTGATAAATGTCAGACAATGTTGCAAATTTATTTTTAGCGTGATTTTCATTGTATATGAACTTGGTGTGTTCATCCTGATTGGCTAAGGAAGAACCAGTGTATTGTGTTCTGCGTCCTGATTGGCTAAGGGGTAATCTCTGTGCCGTGTTTACTGTATCACAGCATTCAGCCTGACAAATGTAAATCCATGTCTGAACGCAGTATGACTGTTAAGTGCTGTATGCTAATTTTCTCCTTGACAAAACCATGGACTAAACCCACAACATGGTTAGTGCTAAAAAGTTGTACTTCTGGACATGTTGCAACGATGACAGCAAAGAGGAGCACGGTGCGGAGCCCAGGCCTTTGACGAGGGACTTTCATGCAGCACTAAGCCCATTTCTTTCAAACTTTTTTACTATTTTGATTTCAAGATTTCAAAAGACTATAACTTTATTTGAGATGAAGGCATTTTGTAAATGAGAACTATCTTCAGTATGAACCAAACTTTGGGATGGATGTTGATTCGTCATCTAATTTGCATATTGTGACGTCATCAAGGTGGTGGCCATTTTGGAAAATATTAATTATTGTATAAAGATTTCAAAAAGCTGTAGTTTGAGAGTGTATTTTGAGATCAGGGAATACCGTCAACACGTGAAATATCTTTAGTATGAAAACACAATGTGGGATAGAAATAAATTCACTGATCAAATGTATATAGAATATTTTAGCACTGGTCAGCGGCCATATGGAACTTTATTATGTATTAGACCTTCAATGATCAAGATGGCACTGCTTATAGTTTACCAGTCATGAAATCTGCAGTTTGGTTTCAATATTACCCTTTCAAAAGACCTGGTGGCATACAGTTTCTCTCAGTGGAAATGAGGCTCCAGAATTCATCGTTTAGAAACAGAGCGATTAAATGAATGGGCTCAGAACTTGTCAGATTGTCTTAACAATAAACAACAGGCTCTTCAACATTTCTGATCCACTTTTATGGATTATCTTCTCTAAAGAACTGCCTTCATCATCATCATCTCCGTCCGTAAAGGCAGATTAGCGGTGCATTTTCTTTCGTGGCTTCTGCCACGTCTCCCGCGTTCCCCGCGGTTGTTTAACCCTGCTGCATTCACCCATATGCCCGGTGTTATGACCCCCCTGTCCCCTTCACCACGTCTCCTGCCTGGTGTTCGCAGAATGTTTCCACTGTGGCCGCACACCGCGGTAAAGAGGTCCGGCTTTTCGGAGTCAGCGGTAAAGAGGCCCGGGTTTTCGGAGTCAGCGGTAAAGAGGCCCGGGTTTTCGGAGTCAGCGGTAAAGAGGCCCGGGTTTTCGGAGTCAGCGGTAAAGAGGCCCGGGTTTTCGGAGTCAGCGGTAAAGAGGCCCGGGTTTTCGGAGTCAGCGGTAAAGAGGCCCGGGTTTTCGGAGTCAGCGGTAAAGAGGTCCGCACATTCAAAGCGGGTGGCCGCTTTATGTTAAACAGTGCATTGTGGCGGCTCATCCCCACGTCTTCTCTTTCCAATGTTACTGTAATTAACAGCATAAAGCGGCTATCCGCGGACTCCTGTCACTAATAATGTCTGTGTCTGCTTCACTGGAGACCTGCGTGTCTTCCTCCTCTGAATCTGAGTGAGCCAGTACCAAATACTTCTCTGATCTCTGGAGACCTCTGGCTTTGCTCTGCGCCGCAGGTGTTTTACAAACTCATTTTACTCTAATACTTTAAATATAACCATTACCACAAAGTCCGCTCATATTAATGGCACACATGTCCACAGCTCCTCGTGAAAAGTATTAACAAAAATTACTGCAACAAACGTGTGTGATTTTTTTTTTTTTTCTGGGGCATTGGACCTTGACCCCCAAACCCCCCCCCCCACACATGTATGACATTTATCACATGTGTGACATTTATCACATGTATGACATTTATCAACATGTGTGACATTTATCAACCTGTGTGACATTTATCAACACGTATGACATTTATCAACATGTGTGACATTTATCAACACGTATGACATTTATCAACATGTATGACATTAATCACATGTATGACATTTATTACATGTATGACATTTATCAACATGTATGACATTTATCAACATGTATGGCATTTATCACATGTATGACATTTATCAACATGTGTAACATTTATCACATGTATGACATTTATCAACATTTAGCTCTACACTGTTCAGCGTGGATAGAGTTAGCACACCATGAGCAATGCCACCAAGGGTACCACTCTATGCGGCATGAATAATCCACGTCAATCGCGCTCCCCAAGCACACAACTGGGGCTTTCTCCTGCGCACGACGCCACCAGCAGAAACGCTGACACGTGGCGGTCTGGCAGAAACATTTTGATTCCAGTACAACTCACACTAACCTACCCTTTGGAACACTTGTCATTGTGCAGAGGTCAGTAGGCCGTTGTGTACAACAGTCGGGTCCAGACGTGGACCCACAGAAAAAGCATGCAGCTGAGCCAGTTGCACCGAACGCGACCCAAGCAGCACACCCCTAGGCTCAGGAAGCAACTTTAGTAATAACAAAGACGTGCGATTATGAAAAAGTAAGACTAACCTTACTGTCAGGAGGGTGGACAAGGTCGGCAGAAGTCTGTCTGCTTATTCCGCCGTCACTTGTGCTACGGTATTTTTTGTGAATCTATTGTGGTTTTACGGGTTGACGATTCTGCTCGACCTAACCCTGTGTCTTGGCTAATTGCCTGCGCGTGTTCCATGTTTTTCTGTGGGGGTCACTGTGGCGTTTCTGCCGCGACATGACCCTGTTATATAGGCTGTTTGCCTACGTGTGTTCCACGTGTTTTTTGTCTGCGTTATGGTGCATCTCTCTCGACCTGACCTCTGTTATATTAGGTTGTTCCCCTGCGCGTGTTCGTCGGTGGGTCTCTAGTGCGTCTCTGTTTGACCTGACCCTGTTATTTTGGTTGTTCCCTGCCGAGTGTATTCGTTCGGTTGGGTCACTAGTGCGTCTCTGCTCGACCTGACCCTTGTTCTGGCTTGTTTCCCGTGGTTCCGCTGTTCTGTGGGTTCTAGTGCCGTCTCGCTCGACCTGACCCTACCGGGTGTGCCCCTGTACTAGTGCGACTGCTCCTGCGCGTTCACGTTGCTGATGCTGAATGTTGACCTGCCAGTCCTGTCCTCGCCCGATTCAGCAGGACAATGGCCATGTCTGTGTCCCTCCTGTCCTTGGAGTGGACCAACTGCGGGAAGGCACTGACCGGCGTGCGTGTCCCCCAATTGTGTGGTGATGCCCTGCATTGCGCGACCCTGGACGGGACCTTCTAGTGGCGATTCTGGGACTGCGAATCGGCCTGTTGGGGACCCGACCCCCTAGTCGCAGCGTGAGGGTGCCCAGGGTGATGAACCTCGCGAAGAAGTCAAAGTCCTCTGGATGGGGGTTCTGAACTCCGAGGTCCGATTCACTCTCCTGTAGTTGGCTCAGTGCGGACCCTCCTTACACACCTCAGGCTGGGCTGCCGTCTGTGGCCCGACCAGTCTTGACCCCTGTCGGTGTACGTTGATAGATTCTCTCTCCTGTGGCTGATCTGACACACAAATTCGGCGGCTCTGATGTCCTGAGCTCCCAGGTCTCGAGTCTGGTTCGGTGGCTCTGTTGGTCTCAGTCGTTTTCCGATGAGCCCGCGACTGCGGCGATCCTTACGGCTTGGCGCACATGAAGCTGGATGTCCCTCGAGTGCCTTCTTTCGCCGACAGTCCGCGGCCTCTGGTTTTCTGTTTCCTCCTTCGGCGGAGTAATGTTCAAGGAGACTACGCCTGTTGACCGAGCAAGGGTCTATACCCAATTCGGACGGTCGGGCCCTGGCTCTATCAGCGCCTGACAAGGTTGCCTGGGTTCATATTGCTGCGGTGGAGCCTGCCATTGCCTCCTTGATTGGTGCACCCTGAAGAGGCTCTGCGCACTACTGCCCGGAGCCCCTCGGCCGGCATGTTTGTCCTGGCATGGCTCTAGATTCCATTTCAATGTCCGCCCGCCCCTCCCTTGACGTGTCGGGACATTTAGTCTTGCTTCGGGCTTCCCGTCCGCGGACGGTCGCTCCCTTATCTGGTGACCTCAGGCTCCTGGGCATGCTGATTGCAACGGGCTGGACCCGCCAATCCTGTTCACAGGCGGGCGGCGGTTTACCGGTATCTCCTCAGTGTATGAAAATCTCTGTCCCAGTGCGCGTG